ATACATATAAATATATATAAATATGGATCTGGAGATGTGGTTATTTCTAGTGAGTAGCAATTGATCACACACAGTATCAGAGCTATAAAAACACAGCTGAGTCAGCTTCTATTGAGAGCTTTAGCAAAATGTTTGCTATTTCAACAGGAGCAGAACCATGCCCTTATTAAGCATTTCTTGCCATTGAGAGTTTTCCATGTTTTCTTTGGGTTTAATAATGTCTATTTATGTGTTCTTTTATTCTCCATTCTTTTATTTCAGTCGACTGGAATTCACCAGAGACTTTACCTGCACTGGATCCTCTATCCAGTATGAGCAATCTACACTCAGATTTCCCTGTAATTTTTTTTTTTCCTCTGCCTACAGCCTAGAACTAGACCAAAACTGCCAATTTGACTTCATAGCAGTCTATGACGGCCTCACCACTAACACTGGCTTAATAGGAAAAGTGTGTGGTCGTTCTCAGCCCAAATTTGAATCCTCTTCAAACGTCATGACGGTTGTGTTGTCTACAGACTATGCCAACTCCTACAGAGGATTTTCTGCTCAGTACATCAGTGCTCCGCTGCCGGGTCCCGTGGAGCCCGACAGTAAGTACGCTTGCTGCACAATTGGGATGCTGTTCCTTACTCTCACATACGATTCTTCCCTGATAAATATCAAAAAGAACTAATGATTTAAGCCTTTTTACTGGTAGTCATCAGCCCTCTCTACATACAAAATCCCACATTAGTCTCACCTATAGATCATACAGTCTCACCTATAATCCATTGGCAACAGAAAGCCTGTTCTTTCGCTTTTTGGTCCCTTTTCTGGCCGGCACCATTAAAAATCTGGTTTTTCTTCTGTCGGACAAAGCAGGCATTGTTACCATCCTAGAGATATAAACAAACTTTTTTGACTTGTTAGTTTAAGTGGTTTTGTTCCCTGAGACACTCAGGAAAACGGTCTGCACTGGTTAGCAAACAGGGTTTGGGTGTAATTTCCTTGCCCCCAGAGCTGGTCCTTATCAATTCCGTAGGGTTGCATGTCCATCTTCTCATTAACTGAGGTGGAAAAGGAACCTCTGAAGCCTTGATGTCTGCCATAAATTGATTTCCTCACCCACCACTCCACACTAGTACCTCAATGCCTTTTCCCTTTCACAAAGGCTGCAATTCATTCTGTTACAGGGCTTAAAATTAAACTTTCAGCATGAGTTTTACCTGGTTTTGCTTATCTTAACGTTTTTTTGAGTGTGAAATTTTGTCCTGACTTCTGCACGGCCTCAAATGCACACGAGCCATTTCAGACTCGGACAAACAAAGAACCATGCAACAGGTTCAAGGATCCAGATGACGTGAGAAGTGAGAGCAGTTTCTGCTAACGTGTTTTGTTCTGTGTTTTCTTAAATTTCTCTTTCCACGGCAGCACTCCTTACGTGCTCTTCAGACAGCATGAAAATTGTTCTGAGCAAGCACTACCTGGCCTCCCTTGGCTATAATGAAACTCAGCTACAGCTGAATGATCCAGCTTGCAGCCCAGTTACAGCAGATTCGGTGATCTTCTCCTTCCCACTAGCCAGCTGTGGAACGATTAAAAAGGTAAAGTGGGGAAAAGGTTTTGTGAATGACAGGAGCTTGTAAAAGCAGTTTACAAACAGCATGTGAATAAGCTGATTTACCTTCACTTGGCTCATCCAACTGCACGTTTCCAGTCTTGATGTGGAAAGGACATTTTTCCTCATTAAGAACCTCAAGATCAATGAGCCTTTCAAGGGAAGTCCAGGAGAGGCCACACATTCATTCCCTTTCCAACCCAGGTTATCGGAAGTAGCACAACGTTAGGGACGTAACTTAAACGCTCTCTGCGAGGGATACAGGCTGGCACTTATCCTGGAGTCACAAGGAAAGCGGAAAAACCCCAAGATGTTAAGATTCCTGAGAGCTTGTTCACAGTGTTGTTCTGATAAGGGTGACTGAAGCGTCGCGGTACTTTCCCCACTCCACGCAGCATTCCTTAATCTTTTTGCTGCATGAGTTGGCTCAGTGTTTCGAAAAAAAAAAAAAAAAAACAACAGGAGGAGGGTTGATAATTTCACATTTCACAGGTATCCTGAGCGTGCGATAAGCTTTGTAACTTCAGCACAATTGCACCGCTCATACGGTAACAGCTGAGCCCTCTGTACGATTCCTTTTACAGGACGAAGGTCAGAGCATCACTTACACCAACATCATCTCTCTCTCTGCAACCGGGAACATCATCACCCGTCAAAAGAGCGTACAGATCATTGCGAAATGCAAAATGGAAAACAATTCAACCTTGGAAGTCATCTACGTAACCAAAAATAACGTCATCCAGAACACAACCGCCGTGGGACGATACAACGTCAGCATGTCATTCTACGATTCAGAGTCCTTCTCCAAGCCTGTACGTCAGTCCCCGTATTACGTAGACTTGAACCAAACTCTTTTTGCTCAAGTCAGCCTTCATTCCACTGACCCAAACCTCCTGGTGTTTGTCGACAGCTGCACAGCATCTCCACAGGCTGACTTTGGATCGCTAACGTACGACTTAATCAGAAGCGGGTAAGGCTCTGAATTATTTTATGACTGTCTCCTAACACGTGACAAAAATATAATTTAAGTGTCAACTGTAGTTCTTTTATTTTTGGGTCTCAGACTGTGGTTGGAAGCTAAATTTCAGTGAAATTTCAAGGCAGTTGTGGTGGGTTGACCCTC